AATGGTTTTCTAAACGTGTGCAAAAACAAAAAGGGCTCTGGCAGCGAAAGGGATAAAGGATAGACCCAGACATTCCTAAAATCATCTCAGATTTAAATACGGTTTTGGTTCAAATGTATTTTTTCTTTATCAGGACAAGCAGATTGTCATGAGGGACAAGTAGATTGGGACTCCGATTTAGTTTTTTGCAAAAATGTCCACACCTCTGATACACGCAGCATTGTTTCATCTGGTCACTCTGTGCTGACCGACTGCTGTTTTGGCATCATTTAAAATCTGCAATATGAAACCTTCATAACAGACACAAAGAGATGACATTTATTCTGAAGTAAAAGAACTGGTGGAACCATCTTCATTTTTCATAGCCAAAGCAAAGCTTGCAGTAACACTTTATTTTCTTCTCTTGCTTTACAGCTGGGTCAGCAACTCCGGACATGAAGCTTCGCCTGGGTCTCCTTTTGGATGTTCTGGAGAGACTTCTGGAGAAAACCCGGTAAGGAACATATTCTCTTTCTTAACCGCTTCCCGCCCGTCTGCAGCAAAAAAGCCCTTTTCAAAGCCCTTTGAAAACGTGCTGTTGCACGAAATGCATCAGGGAGTAGCCAAAGCCAGTTTTATTTACACTGCCTGAGCCACGAGGGAGGCTGGCGGCCATCTTGGTTCCGGATTATATCTTATATGCCTGTTTACCATATTATCACTATGGTCCAGATGTGAGCCCACCTGTTTTTCATCTATTATTCATGTTCATTTAATAAACCTACTACACTATTAGCACTTTGTTCTTTGGCTCATTTATTTTGAGCCACCAAGGTGGAGTGCTGACCAGCGGGTGCACATTAGTGAAGAGTTTCTTCCCATTAATATGGAGAGTGTCAGTGGAGGAGAGGCTATATGCAGACCTGTTGCCAGAGATGTTCCATGCATCCCAGGATGATGATGACCAGGAGTGGTCCTGATTACTCAAAAGCGCTATAATTTGCGCTATCTGGTTAGTGCAACTTACTCTCTTTTCCACGCACACCTGAGACACGGATTTGCACCTATAGAAGATTTATTGTGTCACTAATACACTTCTGGATGTTGTACACGCATTTGCACTTTATTTTATATATTTTTTATTATGTTTTATGATATATTGGACTGATCATCTCTTTTTTATATGCGTTTTCAATACGCCATTGAGTGATGCACCTATGTTTGTGTGATGAAATTTTAGATTGTCTATTTTAGCGCTGCATTTTTGTGAGATATTGTTTAAGAGGGTTGGAGGTTTTACCTATTTATGCAAGCTGCTATCCATACGTACATTTCTAGCGCTCGTTTACCATTTTACCTATATTACACACATTACACATTGTTAGGCACACAATTGACCCCTTGATCGCCCTAGATGTTAACCCCTTCCCAGCCAGTGTACAGTGACAGTGTACAGTATTAGCACTGATCACTGTATTAGTGCCACTATCGATGTCAGTATCAGTTAGTGTCCCTCCCCGTCAGCATCAGCTAGCACTAGATTTTCCACCACACTATCACAGTCCCACTATAAGTTGCTGATCGCAGCCATGACCAGCATAGCGTCTACAGCTGTGTAAATTCCAGTATACATACCATGGTTTGTAAACACTATAACTTTCATACAAACCAATATACACTGATTGGGATTTTTTTTAACCAAATACATGTAGCAAAATTAATTTTGGCCTAAAATTGGTCTAAGCTTTAATTTTTTTTTATTGGGTGTTTTATAGCAGAAAGAAAGAATATTTTTTTTCAAAATGTTTGGTATTTTTTAATTTATATAATAAAAAATAAACAACCCAGCGGTGATCAAATACCACCAAAGAAAGCTTTATTTGTGTGAAAAAATTATGTCAGCACACCTTTCAGCAGGTCTGGGTGTTGGAAACCGCTCAAGAATGCACTCAGACCCATTACAAGAGGGCATTCTTGTGGGATTTTGATCTCACTGGCAGTGGCAGATTCAACTCCGAGGAGGCCCCTAGGCAGTCGCAACCCTGGCCCCCCTTTGCAGGTTGCTGGCGGTTTCTCCTGAGCCCTCTAGTGGGATAACATTGAACAAAGTACTCTGCATGTTGGCTGCTAAATAGAGATGACATCACTACTGTACTTTTCTGCTCTATAGCAAAAAAAGTGACAATTTTGAGAAAAGAACAATATTTTTTATAATAAAAAAAATGTAAAATTCAAATTTTGTAATAAATTTTGGTCACCGGGTACCCGCAAGTAATCACCGGCGGGACCCAGTGATTGACAGCCAAGACCGCGAATGGTGGCGCTGGTAGGGAGTTCACATGCCCCCTACCTGGAGCTTCAAAATCACATATATATACGTGATTTTGTGTACCCGTGCCACCCTGCAGCAGTAATTCTGCTATAGGGCGGAGGGGAAGCGGTTAATGAAGTTTTTTTTTTTTTTTTTAAAGTAAACTCAAATGGAGTGTCAGTTCTCTGTATTCTATGTACAGAAAAGTATGAAGCACCCCAGGTGGGACTCGAACCCACAATCCCTGGCTTAGGAGGCCAATGCCTTATTCATTAGGTCACCGGGGCTTTGCTTATTTGTTGTCTTTTTTGTTTTAAAGTTATTATTTTGTGGAATATAAAATGAATGTACAACCAATTTTTACTGAAGATAAATCCATAGAAGGAAATGTTTCTGGGTTGGCTTTGATAAACATCAGAGATCTGTCACTTTTATCCTTTGATTCCTCAGAGGTGATGTCTTTTCAGACCCCTAAACCTTCCCACTTACACCAATGTAAGGGGGAAATTCTCCTCACTGACACCAATGTAAAGAGAATTCTTCCCACTGACACCAATGCAAGGTACATTCTTCCCTCTGACACCAATGTAAGGGACTTTCTTCCCACTGACACCAATGTAAGGGACATTCTTGCCACTGACACCAATGTGAGGGGCATTCTTCGCAGTGACCACCAATGTAAGGAGAATTCTTCCCACTGACACCAATGTAAGGAGAATTCTTCCCACTGACACCAATGTAAGGAACATTCTTTCCACTAACACCAATGTAAAGAGAATTCTTCCCACTGACACCATGTAAGGGAATTCTTTCCACTGACACCAATGTAAGGAGAATTCTTCCCACTGACACCAATGTAAGGAACATTCTTTCCACTGACACCAATGTAAAGAGAATTCTTGCCACTGACCACCACTGACATGTAAGGAGAATTCTTCTTAATGACACCAATGTGTAAGGGACTTTCTTCTCAGGGACACTAAAGTAAGGAGCATCCTTCCCACTGACACCAATGTAAGGGACATTCTTTCCACTGACACTAATATAAGGGACATTCTTGCCATTGACACCAATGTAAGGGACATTCTTGCCAAATGACACCAATGTAAGGGACTTTCTTCCCAATTTTTCTTTATTAAAAGTCTCGCAATCAATAAACATAAAATATTATACAGAATATAAAAAAATTATATATATTTACAGCAAAACGAAAATAAACATAGCAAAATCTGCTATCAGACAAAAGCAAACGTCTCAGAAATGAACATGACATAATTGGGGAAATAAATCGTACTACCACTCACATCACTACACCAGACATCAAACCTGTGAGGTCAAGAAACCACCCCGCCCCCCTTATGCATGCAGCCCTTCTTCAAAAAAGATCTTAATCAACAAAAACTACGGGAGTGAAAAGAACAGTATAAGGAAGACCCCCTCACCCAGAGATGGACAGTTCACCAAAAGCAGGTCTGATATTCCTCCACGCCCTTATCCAGACCGCCCGAGGCTCCCTGCCCTTCTCAAGACCCCGAATCTTCCCAACCTCACCCAGATATATCGTGCACCACCACCACCTCTACAGGGAGGACTTTCTTCCGGATGGTAATCTGACACCGTGCGTTCCATGTGAAGTAACGGACAACTATACTAACTAGAAAAAGTGTATCCAAATCAAAGTCCCAGCGAGCTGGGAATGCCCCGTACACCCACTCTGCATAACTCATGCGATAGAGAAAGGGGATGCCCAGAAGCCCTCCCCACCCTTTTATACACCTCTATGTTAAAGGGACACAGAAGCAGAAAGTGGTCCATAGACTCCACCTTACCAACACACTCTGCTCTAGGACAATCTCAATCATCCACAGGGCGGTGCTTCAGGTTCCCTCTCACATAGAGCCTTCCATGGAAAGCGAGCCAGGCTTGATCCCTAAACTTCAAAGGGATTCTCTCCAAGTTAATTAAACGCAATCCCTCCCTCATTACGGAGCCTGGGCAATCCTTTAAGGCCAGTGACACACTGAAAGCAGAAGCCAAAATCCTCTCCCCCAGAAGCTTCCTGGGAAGGGACCTGATATCCTCCACTGTCACCTGCCACTGCCGAAGTATTTTCAGACACGGGGCAACATAAGCCGGGAGCTTGCCATGTCGGACTCTCAGACTTTTCACTGGCCGCCATCTTCCCAGCAATGCAGAAAAGGCCTAAACCAAGACTGAAAAATACCCACCCACCCCGGCGGGGTCTCTGCTAACATATTACCAAGATTGTACTTTAAAAAGAGCAAAGAAAAGAAAACTATCGGGTTTGACCATTCCTAGGCCACCCTCCCGCCTGGACAGGTAAGTTACATTGCGTTTGATCAGGTTCAGCCTGTTTCCCCATAACAGTTGGAAAAAAACAGCTGTAGACCTGTGCATAGAGAGATACGGCAAGATACAGACGAAGCTGACATATAAAAAGATCGGGATCAGGTAAGTTTTGATCAAGTCAACCCTCTCTCTCAAGGAAAGCCTCCATCTCTTCCAGCTTGCTACTTTGGCATTGGCAACTACCAACCTGCTTTCCCAGTTACGATGACCATAGTCACCAGGACCAAATTTGATGCCCAAAATTTTAATTTCCTGCTGGGGCTCTGGGAAGGCATCCGGAAGTTCGAAGCTTTCACCCTCCTCACCCATCCAGAAAACTTCACTCTTTTCATGGTTGACTTTAGAGCCAGAAGCCTCCGTCTACTGCTCTATCACAGAGACCACCTCCCCACGCCTCCTCAGTCCCAGAGATAATAACAGACACATCATCGGCATAGGCAACGAATTTCAAAGGCGGCACACCAGCAATGCCCAGAGGCACCCCGCACAACGATGCGCCCTCTAGCCTTCTTACAAAGGGGTCGATTGCGAAAGCATATAGCAGGGGGCTCAAAGGACATCCCTGGCGCACACCAGAGCCGACCTCAAAAGGCCGCCCCCAACCATTAACAAGTGGGAAGCTCTCAGCCCCTTTATATAATGTCTTCAGCCAATCTATAAACCTCCCCTGCAGGCCGTATCTACCAAGCAGCAACCACAGATATTCATGATTCACTCGATCAAAAGCTTTGCCTGATCCAATGCCAGCAAGTACTTTCTCCATCCAGCAGCCCTGCATCGTTCCAAAGCCTCCCGGATAGCCAAAACTGCTGAAAAGGTACTTCTACCTTGGACCAAACAGTGCTGATGGCTGGACAACAAATCGCCTGCTACTGACGACAAGCGCCAAAAAAGAATCTTTGCCAAGATCTTTCTATCAACATTGAGAACTGACTGATGGGCGCCAGTTCTCAATCATTGAGGGGTCTTTACCTTTTGACAGAAGAATCACAGCGGATTGCCTCATGGAGGGAGGGAGCGAACCTCTTCTAGACAGCTGTTAAAAAACCTCCGCTAAAAAGGGAGCCAGAATGGACTTAAAACACTTGTAAAATTCAGCTGTCAATCCATCTGGCCCAGGCGATTTTTTGGTAGCCAGCTTGTCTATAGCATGAACTACCTCATCTCGCTGAAATTGGTTCTGTCAAATTCATCAAAAGCAATGCACCATTTCCCAATCCTGGAGTAGAATCCAGAAAGCTTTCCATCCTGTCCCGGATAAGGTCCTTTCTTCCCAGGAGGTCTGCATAATACGACCCAAAGATCTCCAAGATCCCTGATCTGGACTTTATCAGGGAACCTGTACTGTCTTTCAGGGCAATGACAGTCTTAATTGCTATGCCTTGCTTACAGTTCTGGTAAGGATCAGGTGAGTGATATTTCCCATAATCCCTCTCCAGAACCAAGGAGGCATGCCGGTCGTATTGACACTTCCTAAGAAGAAGCTTCACTTCAGAGATCTCCCCTGGATCTCCTCCATACGAGACAAGACGATCAAGCTTCCTCCGCAAATGCTGGTAGGCAATATACATACCAAGCTGCTTCTTCTTACTTATGGCCTTGAAAAGTCCAATCGCCCTTTGTTTCACAAGCTCCCACCACTCTGACTTACTGCTGCAAAAGTCCAGAATAGAAACCTGTGCCTGAAAAAAATCCTCAAAGGATTGTTCTTACCTCTACATCTTCCAGGAGAGCCGAATTCAGTTTCCAGACACCCCTTCCCCTGGGTGGAGTGTCCGAGGCATTCAGAGTCACAGACAGCATACAGTGGTCCAAGAACTCCACCGCCTTCAACTCAGGAGCCGAGAAAGCAGAGTTCTCCTTCAAAAAAAACCTGTCTATCCTGCTCTGACTATTCCCTCTCTGAAATGTGAACCCCGTGCTGCCAGGGCAGTGCTTAATGTGCACATCTACCAGGCCTGCCTGTCTAACCAAATCTCTGAGAAAAACGCTATCATAACCCAGCCTGTCTATGGAGCCTCTCCTGTCTTCAGGCCTAATTATGGTGTTAAAGTCACCTCCAAAGACAACCTGCTGGGACGTAAAAAGGAAGGGCTTGATCTTTGTGAGGAGGCATTTCCTGCCCCATTTTGACTGGGGTCCATAGATATTGATCAGGCGCAGGTCCTGCCCCCTAACAGAGACGTCTAAGACCATGCATCTCCCCATTTCTACCTCAATTACCCGCCGGCACGTTACCATATCGGTTTTAAAAAGGACCGCAACTCCGCTGCAAGGTTCAGCCGCAAGAGACCAAAAGGAGGGACCACATCTCCACTCCCTTTTTGCTAGATAGACATCGGCCAATGTATTGAGCCAGGTCTCTTGCAAAAATAAAATCTCAGCATCAAACTCGCTGAGCAAAAATAAGGCCGTATCACGAGCTCTTGCAGATTTAATGCTGGCGACATTAATGGTCACCACCTTTAACAGAGTGGGAACTGCCATCAGGATGATTGGGGTAGTCGTTTCCTAACCTCTACCACACTCTCATCACCCGAAACAGCTCTCTTCAGAGTATGTGACTCCCCCTCATCCATAGATGATAGAGAAATGGATATATCAGATACCATCTCATCACCTGACAAAACTGAAAAAGTATTGCCAAGAGGGACCCCTCCTGGATCTGATTCTGAGGAAGAGAGGACAGCTCTTCTCATCCTCCTCTTCTTCTTCTTCCTCTTCTCCTTCACCCTCTCCCACCCCTCATCAGCCGAATCCCCCCCAGCAGGAGGTGAGACATGGGACATGGATACCCCTCCCTGAGCCCCATCGGCTCCACCCCCATCCGGCACCCCCACAACCTCCTGACCACGTTTGCGCTGACGGGGGACAGGTACCGGAGGTGGAGTAGGCCGAGAGGGAAGATCCACTAAACCAGCCCCCCCAGCAGCTTCCGCCAGTCTGGAGGATCTACGTACCATAGGAAGGGACAGGAGGGACAGACTCAGGGGTGACATTACTGGGGGAAACACAATCTGACACAACAGACGGAACAGACACAGGAGGGGCAACAACAGTTTCCTCCCTAGCATCAGCTGCCTCATCCTCTTTATCCAGCCTCTGCAGCTCAGCCTCCAGTCCTGGCAGGTTGTGTAGTGCCTCTGGGCACAGACTGTATGGATGACCCAGCTGCTGGCACAAATTACACACGAATCTCGGTGCATTCTTTGGCCAAATGGCCAAAATCCTGGCACAGTGAGCACTTCTTGATGGTGCAGGACGATGCAAAATGGCCTTTCTCTCTCCGCATTTGTTACAAAACTTTAGGCTGACCTTGATAGAAAATGGTCAGCCTATCCCTCCCCAGAAAGGCTGAGCAGGGAAGATGCTGAACCACATTGCCCAGCACCCTCAATTGCACTGACACGTCCAGGCCCCTGTCCATATCCTATGCTCATCCAGGACCTTCCGCAGTGGGGTGAGGACCTCACCATGTCGGCGTAGCCAAAACTACTAAATCAGCCTCTGGTATAGATTCATTCCGGACCAGGATTGTCACCGATTTTATCAAAGGCTGTCTGGAAACAACCTTTGCCACCAAACCTTTCCACTGCTGAAGGCTCCTGCACCTCCAATATCTCTCCCAAAACAGGTCCAGGCCTTCAGGTTTTACAAATGACAAATCGTATTCATAGCTGCCTACTGGGCAGATCAACGCAAACACATCACAGGCTTTAAACCCCATCTCTAGAATCAACTCCGCCACCCTCCCCTTACTGGTGGGTTCCCTTCCCCCTCCCACTTCAACTGTACCACATTCCTTCTCCTGACCCACCAACATCCCACCACCAAACCTCCCCAAATTGTGACCATTAGCATTCCCAACACTACCCCCACCCCCCTTGGTGCGACTCCCCAAAACAGAGGCATAGCTCCCCCCAATCCTCCCAGCAGCAGAAACATTTGTGTGTCTGGGAGCGTCTGGTGCAACTCAGCAGATACCGATTGCACAGATCCGGGATTGGATGGTGTATCCTCTCTCTGCTCAGCAGGGGGAGAAATGTCATTTTTAGTCTTGTCAGCAATGTTAACCCCTTCACCTCCACCCACCACCAACACATCCATTGCTTTACCAGTCTCAACAGTCATAGACTTCACAGAAATGTCCGCCACTCACTGCTGCAACCATAGAAGCTCCATCAGTCATCTCTTGCTCCAAGAAAGGACACTCAGCCCAGGACTGGATTCGATGTTCAGACACAGCAACAAGTGAGACATCCATACTGTGCTGTTTGCTCTCCATGGTTGTGCAGTGTGCTGCTCCCCTCCCCCACCAGCAGCATCAAATCAGCTCTGGAGCACCTGGGAGCTCAGGTGAAACAGTCTCTCTGCAGGTGGCAGCCATCTTGCCTGTGGAGGGACTACTGGTCTCAGCAGGAACAGCAGCAACAATTTCCATCTGTGGGGTGCTTGGTGCAGGTTCATCCACATTCCCCTGATGGTCTGGAGACCTCTCTGCCAGGGATTTTTCCTCCAGGTTGGCTGAGGATTCCTCCACAGCAGGCTGCTTGCAGAGCTCCTCATCCGCAGTACTGACCCGCAGCAGGTGGGGCAGACATGCTGGAAGCAGCCATCTTGGTATACTGGGATCTCTCCACCAGTCTTGGCTTTTGCTGCTCTGAACCTCCTCTGTCCATCTTCAGGGACTTCTGCAGGGTCATCAGTGAAGGCAAACTTGTCTGCTCTCAGGGGAGACTCCATGTGCTGAATGAACTTCAGGTTCCATACTCACCCTCAACCCCCTGGCTGGTTGCCACTGGTGATTCCACAGCCTGACATGGGGGGAGAGACGCTGATGTAGATGGAACTGGGTCATCCATTACCTGAGGCTGCTGATCCACAGAGCTCGCTGATGTCTGGCTGGCAAATCTCCTCTCATGTTCAAATTTTTCTTTAAATGCTCCACTTCTGGCTTTCAACTTTTCTAATAATAAAGATTGTTTCTTTACTTTATCCTCCATGTGCTGGAGCGCTGGCTTCATGCCCAATCTGTTCTTGCTCCAGGCCTGGCAGTATTTGGCTCTGAAGGTTTTGTGTGTTCAGATTTCAAAACATTGAGTTTCTCCTCAGCTCTTCCAATAGTCACCAAATCTATCAACAATCTTCTGCCTGAAGACATTGACATCCTCACCAGGGCTGGGACCCACAGTCAGGTCCTCCACCTCCTCCTCTTCACTAGGCCCGGTCTCATCAGGGGAATCCCTCCCAGGGCCTCCCCCTGGATCAGGCATGGTTCCTGGGCCAAGCTAGCAGGCAAGGCCCAGGCTTGAAAATGCTGGTTCTCAGGGAGAGCTCCTTCAGTGTGTCCTCCTCCTTCTCCCACTGACCACTAAGGGACATTCTTCCACACAATGTAAGGGAATTCTTTCTGACACCAATGTAAAGAGACCCACTCAATATAAGGGTCCAAATTACGCCAATGTAAGGAGAATTCTTTCACTGACCACAATGTGAATTCTTCTCAGTGACCAATGTAAGAGGAATTCTTCCCACTGACAACAATGTAAAGGGAATTCTTGACAACAATGCAAGGGACATTCTTCCCACTGACACCAGTGTAAGGGACATTCTGCTCAGTGACACCAATGTAAGGGATATTTTTCCCACTGACACCAATGTAAAGATAATTCTTCCCACTGACACCAATGTAAGGGACATTCTTCCAAATGACACCAATGTAAGGAGAATTCTTCCCACTGCACCAATGTAAGGGGTATTCTC